AAAGGACAACCTTGTGCAATTCCAGCTGGTTGACACTTTTGCGATGATGTTGTTGCCCCATCTTTGACGACAAACTTGCGTGCCTTGTAGATCGCGGCAATCATGTCAAGCATGGCGGGTGGTACTCGGAAGTGGCGGAGTGCGAACAGTAGCCCCGCTGGTCTGATACGATCAAAAGCTTTGCTCCAGTCTAGCAACAGCAGGAACAGTTTACCATTTCTGTCCTCCAGTGCAGCGTCAATGAGTCTTCGCACTAAGAATAGTGCGTCGCTGGTGCCCCGGGCAGGCCGGAATCCATATTGAGATTCTCGTAGTTTTTCTTCCGCGCCTCCAGTCTTGAGTCGGTGTAAAAGTATACTGGCCAAAACTTTAGAGCCCACCGCTAACAGGGATATGGGCCTATAGTTGGATGGCTCGGAGGTGTCGCCTTTTTTGAATATTGATACAACCGAAGCTTCTCGCCAATGCGCTGGCATGTCTTTCTGCCGCCAACAATCGTCACACAGCTGTCTTAATATCTCTAGGGCCGCGCTGTTCCTCCATAGCGCGTGCCATAGATCAGGGGGTACTCTATCATTCCCGGCCGCTTTCTGCACCTTCAAGTGTTTGACTGCTCGTCGAACCTCTTCCAAATGGATGCTGCCAACGTCGATGGGTAAGAAGCTGCTGTCCTCCGCTAGGTTGGGAAGCTGTTCTGCCTCATGACATAATTTCCATGGTTCTTTTTCCAGATAGTTTGCCATCGTTTCGGCTCGCTCCTCTGCGTCAACTAGATTACCCTGGGTATCCCGTAGACGTCCATATTTCATCGGCCGCCCTTTCCGGAGTGATCGAATAGCTTGCCATCCGTTTTGTGTTATTGCTTCTTCCAGCCACGCTTTCCTGTCGGCACGTGCCGAAAGATGTATCTGCTTGTTGAGGCCTTTCATGACTTGTGCATCCGCCCCGGCATTTCTACGGCGATTCCGCTCTTCGATAAGATGTAGCGTTCTCGTTGTAATCCACGGCTGGCGCTTCTGCACGGAGATGGTTGGCAGAACATGTTGTGCAGATCCCAGCATGCATGTAGCCACGGATTTTGCCCTGGACTCCAGATCTGTACATGGCGGATTGCTTTCCCAATTGCGAACAAAGGCATCAGCGTATGTATCTGCGATGTCCTTGTTTTGTAGTGTCGTCAGATCTGCTGTGGCTGTTCTTGTTGAGCGTTCCTTTTTGGGGATGTCTACGTCGAGGTCCACTATCTGCACGAAGTGATGCGATTGGAGCGCCCTCCACCGATCGCTCCAGATAGCCGTAACGCTGCTGAACCAACTTCGCTCAACTACGACATGGTCCAATTGTTCGAACCGGCCTGGTTGTACTGGTTCTGCTGGATGGGTGCCCAGATCGCGGTAAGTTGCTTTAGCTTCGAGTCCTGCGTTGAAAAATGTATTCGCAACGCACGCTTCCAAGGCACCACACAATTCCAATAGTAATTCTCGGTTTGACGTTGGCTCCCACTTCCCGGTAAGATTCTCGAAAGGATAAGGTCCTATGATTTTCCTTTCTCCGGCACGTCGTCGCAGAAGCCTCGCGTTGAAGTCCCCCAGCAGGACGGCTGGCCCATAAGATTTGCATCTGGTGGCGAATGCCGTCAGATCGGTGAAACAATCGTGCCGGATATCATACGGATGCTCGTTGGTCCAAGCGTATACTGTAATCAACGTAAGAATTCCACCAGATACCTGGAGCCGAATGCTGGCCATTCTGTTGTCCTTTTGTAGGTAACCTTTGACAGCGTGTCTCATTCAAGGTGCCACTACGAACCCGACTCCTGCATATTCTCTGCTGTCGTGCTCCGTCCCAGAAAGAATAAATAAGTATCCCTCGTGTTCCAAAATCTGTGACCCACGGCAATGTGTCTCTTGAAGACACAACACACCGATATTTAATTCTGGCATGTGCTTCATTATCTCGTACAATTTGTGTGGCTTCTCCGGGCTGATGCCTTCGACATTCCAGGAGACAATTCGTCCACACAGTACTGGCGAACATGGAAATGCTACCCATTTGCCCGTGCTCGTCGTACTTGTAGTGCCGATGCGCCGTCGTATTTCCTAGTGGTTGCCCTTCTTTCCCTTGCCGCTGCCTTTAGCACGCTGGAGGGCCCCATTAGCGCGATCGGTGAGGTCAGACACCTCCGGGCTGTTTGTAAGATCGCCAAGATCGCCCCAAGCAGCCCATGCTCCACACCACGTAACCTGGAGAGCGGACCCGGCGACAAGTACGTGACACACAGGTTTTTTTTGGCTATTTTGAGCTTGTCTTCCAGAGTATCCACACGTACCTCGCTTTTGGAATAACCCCATCCCAAGAATGTCTTACGCAAGCTGAACAAGAAGCTCTCTGGGACCTTTTTTTCCAAAGGTTGGTCTGGACGCGTCCAAATCACATTTCCTTGATGTTTCAATTGAGCTTTCCCCAGGACTGTGACGAATGTGTCCCGGGCACTGGCCGTGTCAAACTTTGCGAAGAAGATCTGCTGGAACGCGTCGCCTTTGATGAAGGTCTCCTTAGGCTCCGGAGCTCCGAAATGAAGCGCCTGTTCATTGATCCATGCAGACGCGTCACGCAAGGTATCGAAGTTACCCAATCCACCAATGACAGCATTGCACTCATACTGCTTGTTTGTGGTGAGTTCCGCCATTTGGCGCTCGATCTCATTGAGTTTCGCCTCAACTGTGGAAGCCAGACTGCGTGCGGAACCAGTCGCAGAACCAGCATCTGGACGATGTGGAAGCGACTCGAGAACGGCAACGCGTGCGGTGATGTCATCGACAGCTGTCTTCAAAGGCTCCACCGCGTTCCGCAGGTCTTGTTGCGAAACGCCGTGCTGCTTGATCGCACGAATATCGTTCTGGATTGGTTGAAGCTGGTCTCGCAATATTTGCTTAAATTGCCCAACTGTTAGGCCATCCGTATCGTTACCCGATTGTGAACCTGCGGCTGCGGCAAGGTCATCGTCGGGTAGTTGTTGAGGTACGGCTTGAAGATCGTCCAGGCCATCCATCTCATGTAGTGGACTGTGGATGCGATGTTGCTTTGCTCTACCAGCAGGGGGCTGCAAAACGTCCTTGACGGGGGTGCCGGCTCTGCGAGTTTGTTTTGTCGTCGGCGGAGGCGAAGCAGCTTGTTCCAACTCTCCATCCAACTTGAGGGGAACACGAGAAGCCATACTGTATGCAAGATCCTCGGTGAGAGTGCAAGTGGCGCACTTCTAAATCGGAATGTAAGAGCAGTAGGAATGTAAGAGCAGTATGGGGCCTGTGAAGTTGTGTAGCACCACACTAAACTGGCCCTTGAGCCACACGGGGCCCTTGAGCCAAGGCAATCTTGAGCCAAAAAAGTGGCGACAGTTGCGCAGATCGCAAGCCCCCCAGGGAGCGGCGAGGTCCCGAGGTGGTCAACGAGGGACGTACCTCCACTTGGCCTCCCAGGAGCCCACGAAAGTGGAGACAGTTGCGCAGATCGCAAGCCCCCCAGGGGGCGGCGAGGTCCCGAGGTGGTCCGCGTGGGACGTACCTCCGCTGGGCCTCCCAGGAGCCCACGACAGTGGCGACAGTTGCGCAAATCGCAAGCCCCCCAGGGGGCGGCGAGGTCCCGAGGTGGTCCGCGTGGGACGTACCTCCGCTGGGCCTCCCAGGAGCCCACTAAGTGGCGACAGTTGCGCAGATCGCAAGCCCCCCAGGGAGCGGCGAGGTCCCGAGGTGGTCAACGAGGGACGTACCTCCGCTGGGCCTCCCAGGAACCCACGAAAGTGGAGACAGTTGCGCAGATCGCAAGCCCCCCAGGGGGCGGCGAGGTCCCGAGGTGGTCCGCGTGGGACGTACCTCCGCTGGGCCTCCCAGGAGCCCACGAAAGTGGCGACAGTTGCGCAGATCGCAGACGGCACGAGAGAAGAGGAAAAGGGAACACAGGAAACTTGAGAGAAGGAGGAGGGGAGGAGAGGGGAGGAGGAGGAGGAGGACGGGGCGACCACACTGCTCTATTCAAAACGAGTACCCAACCATAGGGGGGGGCGGGAAAAAAGAATTCCCAGAATTCCTTTTTCCTTTTTTCAAAATGGGACTCCGAATCGGAGATCCCGCACATCCCCTGACATCTGGCCGGTACCAAGCCTCCCGGCTTCCCGGGGGGCCCCCAAGACGCCCAAAGACAACCGAAGACGACCCTAAGAAGCCCCCAGAACGCAAAGAACGGCCCAACACGCTCCCGCGCAGCCCGGGAAACCCTTCCGACGGCTCTCCAGGCCCCCAGGAGGCCTCCAGAAACCCCAGGGGGTCCGGAAGATCCCACACCCCTGAGGGGCCCGGCTAACAAAACCCGCGAGGCACACCCAAAAAACAGCACCGAACAGCGCCAAGGAATTGGAAAAACATGGAAATCCCACAATTCCATATTTTTTTCAAGTTTGGCCCCGGGCCTACTCTTGCACAATAGCGACAATTCAGACCCCTCACCTCCCCAAAAAAGAACTCAGGAAGCAAGCCTTTGAGGGCCCCAAATCGTTGAATACTTGAAGGAAATGAATGATTTCTGCGTCTCCGCATTTCCCCTTCTATACGCTTCCGAGTCTTGCGCAGAGCCTCCAAGGGAGTCCCTGGGCGCAAGAAGCGACCAACATGAGATTACATGAGTTGGCCGATCAAGCCTAGCTAGAACTTGAACGCGCGCGCGAAGCGCGCGCGATGGTTCTAGCATCTATATATATATATATATATATATATATATATATATATATATATAGCAACACTCCGTAGCCATTTTGGCTCAAGGCCAATTGGCGATTTCTTCAGAACTGCCTTCGCGGGGTAGGCTCCCACCCAGTGTTCCAGCTGCTTCCAAGTCCAGGTCCGCCCCTGGCACCAGCCCCAAGCCCAGGTCCGCCCCTGGCATCCATATCAAGAAGTCCAGGTTCACCCCTGGCATCCATATTCCCAAGTCCTGGTCCGCCCCAGGCATCCAGTGCTCACCGCGAATGGCGGCTCATAGCGGAGCTGCTGCTTCTGGTCGCCCTTCTGCTCCTCTCCAACCCGCTGGTGCTGGCGCGAGTGGTGCTGGCGACCGACAACCAGATGCAATCCATCAACACGACCCCTGGAGAGAGTCGGCCGCTCTATCCCGTGGTGCTGCTGAAGGAGCCAAGAGGCCCCGTGCTGATGCTTCCAACGCCTCAGCTTCCAATGCCTCAACCCCCTCTGAGCTCGTGGACCCCATGGACGCCGTCAACGCCGCCATCGCAGCCTCGCAGGACTTCCTCACAGCTCAGCTCGACTCGAAGTTGGCATCGGTCAAAGCAGAGATCATCGGCGAGTTCGCAACCCAGCTCAAGGGTCCCCTTGGCGCGGTGGTCGGACAGCAGCAACAACGGAACGCGCATTTCACGGGTCAGACCCAGTCACTACAGGCCACATCGTCGAAGCTCGAGGCCGAACAAGCAGAACTACGTGTTCAAATTGCAGAAATGCGACAGCGGCTATACATGCAGGAGGCACAGATCCCCATCAAGGATTACGAGAATCTCATCGAATGGGACCGACCAGCAGACACCAGCATCATTGTGGGCACGGCCGCGGAGAACTTCACGCTCGACGAGTTCAAGGCCAGCATCCAGCCCATCATCGACAGATGCGAGTTCGGCGACGGCGAGTGGGAGGCAGTGGGCCAGAGTCCAGCGCGACGATTCCTCATCGAGTTCAGTGGCGACGCGAATGCCTCTGCCCGGCGTGTCCGCACTTTCTACAGCAAGCTCAAGGGCGCTGACGGCGAATGGCTCAACACGATGGTCAACAGCGTCCACGGTTAGCGCACACGTCTCTTCCTCGGTCTCGATCGCAGCGGCAAGACAGCGAGGCGAGAGTTCCAGACCAAGACGCTCACCCAGATCTGCAAGACCCAACATGACACGAAGCGCTGGCGAGGCGACCGCCAGCAAGGGATCATCTATTGCAACAACCTGCCCATCCTCTCCATCTCCGTGGGTTCCACAAAGGACGGGCCGACCAAATTACTCTTCAACTACCAGGGCTGCCTCACGCACGGTATCAACAGGGAGGACGTCCGCGCGAAGTTCGAAGAGGTCTTCCAAACATCCTTGGACGCGAGGGACGTCCAGTGGCAGCTTTAACAAGACGCTGGCCCCTTGGCGCAGGGCGCAGTCTGATGGCGCCATCACTTTCACTACGTGGAACATGCGAGCGCTCCTCTGCCAGGACCCGCTCAAGCGCAAGAAGAAGGTCACCCACATGCTGCAGGTGCTCAACTCCACGTCGGTGCTGGCCATGCAGGAGGTGCACGGCTCTGAGACGGAGCTAGCCCACACCCTGCACCTTGGCCACAAGTCTGCGGCCATCTTCATCTCCATCCCTGAGCGCGGAACGGGAGGCGTGGCGACTGTGCTTCCTGGACTCTCGCAAGAGGAGGCGGCTGATCCTGACCGCTTCCGTCGCACCGCACCTGTCCCTGGCCGCGCACAACGTCTCCAAATCAAGTCGGATCTCGCTGGTGCACCCGAGGGCGCTCAGCCGTCCATGGCGGTGATCTACAACGTTCACAACTTCCACCTCGCGCAGGATCAGGTCCAGCGCACGGTGGGCACGATTAGGGCGGAGCTCAGCGTCGCAGAGCAGCGGCCCGAGCGCATCACAGCCATGATCATGAGCGACTTCAATTTCATGGATGAGGCCCCGCTGGAGATGACGGCCCCGCTCGTCAACAAGGGGCTACCCAGGCTACGCAACGTCCACCCTGAACATCAGCTTCTCTGGGAGCAGGCGCCGGGCGACATGGTCGAGGTGGACCCCGAGCTCCACGCGCACTACACTGAGCACTCCCAGCAGTGCGCGCGCATCGACAAGATCTATACCAGCTCGCCGCCGTGGCTGTTGACACAATGGTGCGCGAAGGTCGACATGCCCATGGCGCCTGACATGCTCTATGACAAGGGCATTTCGGATCATGCCCCAGCACGCCTACGCCTCTCAGCCCGAGCTCGCGCAGATCGCGAGTCGCAGCCGATCCCGCAGTATATCTTCGAGCACCCTCTTTTCATCAAGTACTTTGACCTGCTGGTCAGCCATGCCGACCTGGACAGCTACACGCCCTGTGTGCGCCTCCAGGAGCTCAAGCGCCTGATCCGCGAGGCGGCGCGCCTTACCCGCAACGACCTGACAGACGTGCATGCGCCGTGCTCGGCGGCAGCTCTCACCACTTGCAGAGCGATCTCGAGGGCGGTATGGCGCAATGACTGGCAGAGCGCACGCACGCTAAAGGCGCGCACTGAGCTCGGTGACCAGTTCTTGGACATCTCTGACCCGAACAACATTGCGCTGATCGAGCCTGGCACGTTTCGCCGCGTCTTCGAGCAACGCCAGAAGTCGCGCCAGGACCAGCGCACTGAGGCCCTGCTGCAGGGGGAGTCCGCCGCTGACACGCCCTTCCAGCAGCGGCAGCGGCTCCGCAAGATGAGGAAGGCAATCCAGAAGCGCGGCAAGCTCTGGGCCCCAACGGGCAAAACCCTCAAGCTCAAGGCTATCGGGGCGATGCACGACCACAGCACCACGCAGACGCCTGCTGCCATGATCGAGGAGCTCCGTCGGCAGTGGTCCCCAGTCTTTCAGGCGAAGCCAAGCCACCTCCAGCACGTAAAGCGCTACCTCGAGAAGCACATCGTTCCGTATGATTGCACGGACATGGACATCCCCAGTTTGGGTAAGATGAAGAACCTGATCAGCAGGCTCAACAACTTGGCGCCTGGACCTGACGGGATCCCCTACATGGCCTGGAAGCGGATCCCCTCGTCGGCGCAGCTCATGCTCGACGTCACCATCGAGATCATGCAGGGCTACCCTGTCCCGCTCACCTTCAATGACTCGCTGATGATCTTCACCCCTAAGGGGTCGGAGCCTGCTGACGAGCATGGAGCGACGAGGACGGCGAAGGCAATTCGCCCCCTTTCTCTGAAGAGCACGGACTGCAAAATCGTCGCGGCCATGGGGAATGAGCTGATGAAGCCGATCGTAGCCAAAGGCGCGCACAAGGCGCAGAAGGGCTTCTTACCGCAGAGGCGCTTCATCGAGCACGTGGTAGCGATGGACGCGCAGGCTCGCATCGTGGCCATGCAGTCGGACCCCGTGGAGAAGGACCCGCTCCTGGTGCTCTTCGACTTCGGCGACGCGTCCCCCTCCACGTGCAGGGTCTGGCTGAACACCGCGCTGGAGATCGCAGGTTTCCCGCAGGGCATCCGCAACATGGTCGACGCGATATACCTCCTGCCCGTTGCCTTCACCAACCTTGAAGGCGCGCTTGAGGTGTTCTGCGCGCTGGCCTCGGGTATCCTCCAGGGGTGTCCGTGGTCGGGCACTCTCTGGGCCGTCGGCATGGATCCGTTGATCAGGGACATGCACACCCGCTCGGGCAGTTTCAAGGGCGCTCTCATTGGCGTCTGCGCGGGTGATGTGGGCAGCGTGATGCTTGCGCTGAAGATGTTGCGCCCCATGTCCAGCGTCTTCTACGCGGCGGAGCTCTTGGCGCGCCTGGTGCTCAAGACGGCGAAGTGCAAGATCATCCCGTTGGCGGGCTCCTTCTCGCCGGCGGTCGTGGACAGGGTGCGCGCCAAGATCGAGGCGCTGGTCCCGAAGTGGAGCGGCATGACGATCACGGACATGGCTGAATACCTCGGGGTGCTGATGGGCCCGAGCGTGGATAACCTCAAGCGCTGGCAGAAACTGGTGGCGGGCTGGCAGCGCGCGACCAACCTGATAGCGGATACGAATGCTCCGACTTCGACCTCGCTGATGCTCTACAACCCGAGGGCGGTAACCAAGATCTCCTACTTCAGCCAGCTGTTCCTGTGGCCGCCCAAGATGAAGCGCAAGGAGAACTGGGCTCTTCACCGCATCTGGCACCTTCCTCCTCAAGCGCTGCCACGAGATGATCTACTTCGCATTGGTGACTGGTCGTCCTCGCTGAAGGCGGTCTCGCTCGAGGTCAGCAACAGGGCCGCCCTGATGCGCAGTGCCACGGACTCGGTGAAGAACTGGCCGCACTGGTCAGCCAAGCTCAAGGAGGCGGCGGCGGTGGCATTGCCCTTCTACGACCTGGCGCTGGGCATGCATGCGCCATCGCACTGGCGCTCTCCGCCGATTGCCCTCACCTTGGAGGAGGCAGCTGGCGGCTTCACGAACGACCCGAACGAGCTGGTGGCCACCGTTTGTGGCCAGGCACTGAATGAGTGGCGCGCGGAAAAAGCCCGCCTGATGGTTGCCCGCCCGAATCCACGCTTGCGCATGCAGAAGCACATCCACTCTCACCTTGTTCCCTCACTCCTGGTTGATCGCCTCCCCTCGACCTTCCTCGCCCGCCTCAACTCCTGGTCGACAGAATCGCAGCCATATGTGCAAGCACAGATCGAATGGGAGCCGCTTAAAGTGCTGCTCAAGTCTGATTTCTCTCCTGCGTCTCACTCCGCCCTCCTCGAGACTTGGGCGGGGGGATGGGCCACAGGCCGCCGCCTGCACTCGCGTGACAAGAGCGCAGGCGGCCCATGTGTTTTCGGCTGCAAGCAGGGTGATGTTCCTGATGCATCTGACTCCATTTCTCACTACATGCACTGCGCTCACATGTCGCACGCTGTCTGCACGGTGTGGCACGTGCGCTTACTTGCGCCGAGCTCGCTTCCTGCTCGTCTGGGCCTCTGCAGCGGAGAATCGGACGAGTATCCTCAGCGTGTAGCGCTGGAACGCACCACCATTGCTTTTCATTTGTACAACATTCAGTCGAAACTGCCGCCAGGGAAGTGGATACTCCCAGAGGTGGCGGTGGATAGTGCCCGTGCTGCAAGGGCACTCTTCCTCTCAACGCACAAGCCTGCTGCTCAATAGTCTATTTGACTCATTGTGGAGCGCAAGCACAAGCGATATATATATATATATATATACACATATATATATATATATATATATATCGCAACAAGTGTAGATAGCATAAAGGGTTCGAGGCCCAGCTGAGAGGCCATCTATAGTAGTACATGTCACACGCGACGGATTGGAACCCAAGGGAAGGCAGTCTATATGAATAAATTTCAAGCACGAAGGAGTCGTGACCCAGGAAAGGGGCAACCGCTAAAACAGAACAAGCGCATCCTCAACCAATTCGGCAAATTAAGCCTTCCGCTCGAGATATCTGCAACAAACGAAATACTCACTTGGCCTTCCATTCTATTGGTTAGGATTTGAAAAAAAATCGTTTCGATCGGGACATTCTCAGACAAACATTCGCTGGCCCACATTTTTTATCAACGGAAAGTTCCGCCAGCCCGCCCTGTGCATGGCACCAGGGACAGTGGACACACAACCAAAAGAGATGCCTGGGCCTCTGCCCATTCCAGGAGAAATCACCGGTGGCTCAAAGATGAAGGGATGTGCTCAAGATGAAGTCATGGGCTCCTAAGAACGAGGTGCTTCACACAATGTATATCAATCCTTGGATCCCTCCCTTTTCCTAGGACCCCATTCTTCAGGACCCCATCTTTGAACAACCGAAAACACATCCGAAGCGGGCACGTCACGAACCTGCTCAGGCTCCGCGCGGTGTTGCTCACGCGGGCCGCCTGGATCCGACTCGATGTGATTCGCTTCGTGAACTGTGCCGGCGTTTCCGATTCGATTTGGCCTTTAGGGCGTCGCGTAAACGGGGGGGACGATCAATGAGGGGGCAGCGAGGGCTGCAGAAAAGGGGCCTTTTGGGGCTAGGGCCCCTGAAAGGGCCCTTGAGGCTTCAAGAAGGGGGCCTGACCCTTCTCCCCCCCCACTGATCGCCCCCCTCTTGAGCGACGCCGGAATTTGGCCCGATTTACCGGCACTGGCCATGGCCAGCTGGAGCCGGGCGCCGCGATCCGACGTCGATCGATTAGGAGCGAGTCGTTGGCGGTCCGATCCGTTCCCGAAAAGATACGGCTTCGCGATGCGATCTGGCCCGGGCCTGCCAGTGTCGGGCGGGGCCTGGGCAAGGAGTCATCTTTCCAGAGCGTTCCGGAACGCTCTCAGAGCGTTCCAGCAGGCTTTGAGATGGCCGCGGCGCCCGATACGCGCTCCGGAACCGACGGATCCCAGAAGCCTTACTTAGATCCAAAACCAATGTTGTTCCCGGTTGGCTTTCCAGACCCCCGACGCCACGATTTGTTCATAACGTCCCCCCCCAAAGGTCTCGACCCATTCCCTGGGACCAGGTCCTGAATCGTTTTCGACGGTCCCAGGGCTGGGTAAGGGCCTTTCGGGCCGAAAGCATTGACAAAAGCAAAAATGTCTCTCGTCGTGTTTTTTTCTGACCCGAGTGGGTAAGGAATTTCTCCCTCACCGATTTTGTCCCTGTCCTGGCTTGGTTGCCAGCAGCCGCCGCCTTCGGTAGCGAATCGTGGGAGCCTCGCATGCCGTCGCAATTCCGTCTTCAGAGTGCACAAGCGTGCGCTGGCGTCTGGTGATTGATGAGAAGGCGCCGATTTGGCGTCGATGAGCGTCGATTCAGAGTCGACCAGTGTCGATCAGCGTCGATTAGCATCGGACCAGCGCCGATCCGCAAGAGCCAACAAGATGGTATGGACGGCTCCTAGAATCAGCCATGCGCAGAGGGGGGCAGGGAGAGGGGGGAGGCGTCTTAGAAGCATTATGCTTCTTAGAACGCGCGGTCCTTGTCTATAGATGTAAGGCCCCGCCTTCTAAGAAGCAGCCCCCTTCTAACAAGCCTTTCCCCTCTCCCATGCCCTCTTGTGCGCGCCGCCAACACGAGTTGCCTCCGAAGTGTCCTGGCTTCCCCTTCGCAGTGCCAGCAGCAGCCGCTCCAGGGCCCCCCATGGCGGAGCACGCCCGCCCCGCGCCGCGGGCCGCGCCCCGCCGCGGGCCGCAGCCGCGCCGGCTGCGAGCGCCGCTCGCCGCCAGCCTGTGCGCCTGCGGTGCGCCCGCGGCTCTGCTGCGGTGTGGCCCGCGTGCGCAGGCCAGGCGGCCCTCAGGGGCAGCGGTAGGCCATGAAGCACCACGCAACCCCAGACCCTAATGACACAATGATCTCGTGACCTCGCTTAGGTCAACGGTGTTGAAGGATATCCCTAAATATGTGGGTGGGTTCGTCTGAGACGTCTGCAACAAAAACCCTATCCCTAATGTTCTTGGTCCTCCTAACTCAAATTCCCTCCCAAAGGGTGAGGGGTATTTTCATGTCCTCCCAGGTAGGGAGGGGGATACGCAACGATAGGAGGGAAGATGCTCCAGGGAGACATTCGGCAGTTGTCGAACGTAATCGATCGAGGCGGTTTCCATCAGCTGCGCCTCGTCGAGGGATTTCCAGGGGTGCGGAATCAACGTCGGGGACAAGACTCCCCCGAGTCATGAAAGATTCACGACGGGTGACTTTTCATATATTGCGGTGGCCTTGCGGCCAGCGCCGCCGACCCTGAAGGGAGACGACGACGACAACCGCGGCGGCGACGACGACGACGCTGACGTGGGCCAGAGTCCTCAGGGATGTGTCTTGGGGTCCCTTCGGAAGGATCTCGGGGGCCTCTGTTGAGAAATTTCCAGACTCCCTCACGTCATCGGAAAATCACGACGGGAGATGTGTCTCGATTTTCCGCCTGCGGGGGCTGGACCCCGGGAACATCAAACATTGATTCGGGGTGACACAGGATGATCCCGGGGAGTGGGTCGAGACCTCTGGGGGCCGACGATATGAACAAACGACGTCGGGGTCTGGGTAGATCAGGAGGGATCGGCTCAGGGGGGGGACGCGTCGACCCCCGACACCGAATAGGGGCCCTCGTGCCCCCGCCGCCCAGGAACATGCGGATTCGCTGTCGGGGCACTTTCGCCGATCCATCGGGGTTGCGTCGCCGATTCCAGGTCGATGCTTCCCCAACCCTGGACCGCATCACCGTGACGAAAGGTTCTGTCAATCTGCCTTCGCCAATAATGCAGCAGGGCAAAGTAGTTCGGGGTAAAAGTACTCCAACTACTCCGCGCGCGGGCGCATCCTGCTCGATATTTTATAGGGTGTGGTGAGGAGTAGTTCCCGATCTGGTTTTGGGATAGCAGAGTTTTACGCATCAGGAGGATCGGAAACTACTCCGCCAAATGACGCCACCATCATGATGTTAGGGATCTTAAGAGGGATGGGAGATATCTTCGCAATCGCAAATTCAATGTTTTTTTATCCCGACTGTGCATTCCCCGTCTATCGTTGCCTCTCAGGCCTATGTGGGGGGGCGATGACTAGGGGGGTGGGTCGTGATGTCTCCCTGCATTTCATGACCCTTCTTCGTTTTGCTATGCGTCCCTTGGCCCCCCCTGGCCCGCGCACGTGCCTCGGACCATGATTTGCGACCCCCCCTCTTGGACGCCCCCGATCGGAACGAGAACGGCATCTGGAATCGGCGATTCAAAGGTTCAGAGGAGGGCGAGTTGAGACACCGGCAATTGGCCTTCGTGGGGCCTCCTCGTCGCCACGGCTGGACGCAGCTCGGGAAATTGTTGCGTTTGGCTCCTGTGAGGGGTCCGAGCTCGATTTTGAGCTGCCGGTGTCTCAAGTCGCCCTGCTCCGAAGGGCCTTGAGTGATGGGGCCCTGAGGACCATCCTTGGGGACCCATCCCTCAGGGTCCCATCCTTGAACAGCCGAGATAGCAGCATATCTGGGTCGCCCGCCGGGGCTCGCAGTTTGTCGCGCTTCACGCGTCGCGGCCTGAGCCAGAGCGGCGGGGGCGTGAAGTTTGTCGCCCCTCGCGCATCGCAGGGCAGAACACACACAGATTTCCAGAGGTCAGCGCATATCTCCCTGGCCGGCGCTGGACCCCCAACCCCTGGCGGCGCCGACGGCGCCGCCCTTGGTGCGCGCGCTCTGCGCGACAGGGAAGGAGGGGTCCAGCGCCGAACCAATTCGATCCGCGCGGACCTCGGAATGTCTGTGGTGTGTATGGAGCGTTTGTTGTTCTTCTGTGGCAGCACACTTCCCGCTAGCACCCCCGAAGGTGCAGCACCAGACTTTCCCCAACCCATCCCAGAGCCCCGCTTGGCTTCCCCCTCTTCCTCTCCATCCCGCTTCTCTCTGGGGCTACCCCGAAAAGAGGTTTGCAAGATGAGGCTTCTTTTTGCTGCAGGTTTTTTTTTTCCGTGGCGGCTTGCAAATGGAACCTTCTTTGTTGCGGATTATATAAGGATTGTTTTTGCCACGGCTTGTAAAACAGCGATTTCTGTTTGTTCCAGAATTTGTTTTTTTGTTCGGCGGCCTTGCAAAACAACTATTATGACAGTTGCGGTCACATTATGTATTACATTATGTATGTTGGAACCCTCTTGTGGCGGATTGCATCAGGGTTTCTTGTGCTATGGGTGGCAATTGCATGTCTTGCGTCGGATGTACAAGAATGATCCCCTTCCGTGGCGGATTGTATGAGGATGTTTTCTTGCGTTTGGTATGGGTTTACAGGAAGGGTCCGTTCTGTGTTAGCCCTACAACGGGGCTCCTTTTTGGTGACCTTGCAAGAAAAGCCCCCCTGTGGCTGATTGTTCTTGTTCGGCATTCCGTTGTGACATGGTTTCTCTTGTGGTGGATTACAGAAGGAATGCTTTGTGTGGTGACCTTGCACACGGATTCCTTTGACGGCGGTCTTGCAAAAGGATTGTTACTGCGGCGGTATAAGTTGACCACGTGTTGGGAATGACAACAGCAAGTCTCTTCTGCGGCGGAACAGCAAGCAACGAACGTCTTAGCTTCCTAGAACTCAAAGACACGGTGGTAACCCTTTGCGTCTGTGTATGTGCCGCGAGATCCTTGGGCCTACAGATGCCGAGCGAATGCCAAACGCAACATGCATTGTTCCTCGATTAAAACTGTCAGTTGCAAGTTCGCTTGAGACCCATCCCCATCTTCACACCATGCACACTCATTGTTCTTTTACGTTATTGAATTACCATGGCGAGGTCTCAAGCGGAACACTATGTTTTCTGCTTTTTACACAGCAAGCAAGAATCGAAAATGAATGTGTTCGCCTCTGGCCGATGCTTGGCCGCCCACTATGTTTTGATGCCACTACCACTCGATCGAAAGGTTGTTTTTTGGTGGGTTTCACACGGGTTCCTTTGTTGAAGATTCTAAAACGAATTCTTCATATGGCGAGCTATAAAAGCATTACTTCCCAACCATCCTGTGGTGTTGGGTCCTCGTTTTGAAGAGACGGCGCCCCGCGTTCCTCACCTCCTCCTCCTCCCCCCCTCCCTCCTCCATCATCATCATCATCATCATCATCATCATCATCATCATCATCATCATCATCATCATCATCATCATCATCATCATCATCACCGATTTCGGCACACCCCTCACACGTTTCGTGGCCCCATAGGGAGCTCCACCGAAGGCCCCAGTGGCTGCGTTCGCATGCCTCCCCACCACCCATTTCAGCACACCCCTCACACGTTTCGTGGCCCCATAGTGAGCTCCACCGAAGGCCCCAGTGGCAGGGTCCGCATGCCTCCCCACCACCCATTTCGGCACACCCCTCACACGTTTCGTGGCCCCATAGGCAGCTCCACCGAAGGCCCCAGTGGCAGGGTCCGCATGCCTCCCCACCACCCATTTCGGCACACCGCTCACACATTTCGTGGCCCCATAGGGAACTCCACCGAAGGCCCCAGTGGCAGGGTCCGCAGGCCTCCCTCTCTTTCTCTCTCTCTCTCTCTGTCTGTCTGTCTGTCTGGTCTGGTCTGGTCTGGTCTGGTCTGGTCTGGTCTGGTCTGGTCTGGTCTGGTCTGGTCTGTCTGTCTGTCTGTCTGTCTGTCTGTCTGTCTGTCTCTTTCTCTCTCTCTCTCTCTTTCTCTCTCTCTCTCTCTCTTTGTTTTCTCTCTCTCTCTCTTTCTCTTTATCTCTCTCTCTCTCTTTCCCTCTCTCTCTCTCTCTCTTTCTCTTTCTCTTTCTCCTTATATTTCTCTTTCTCTTTCTTTCGTTTTCTCTTTCTCTTTCTCTTTCGCTTTCTCTTTATGTGTCTCTTTATATTTATCCTTCTCTTTATAGTTTTATTTATCTGTCGCTTTCTCTTTTCTTTTGGTTGTTCTCTCTCTCTCTCTTTGTTTTTGTCATCTCTCTCTCTTTCTTTCTCTCTTTCTCTCTCTCTCTCTCTCTTTTTCTCTCTCTCTCTCTCTCTTCCTCTCTCTCTCTATCTCTCTATTTCTCGCGCTTTCTCTCTCTCACTCTCTCTCCCTCTCTATTTTTTGTTTGTTTTTTTTCTCTCTCTCTCTCTCTCTTTCTCTCTCTCTCTCTCTCTCTCTCTCTCCCGACGGGGGGGGGGATGGGGAAGGGGGCGCAACAGGGGGCCCCCCGTCGACGGGGCCGGGCAGACACCCCGCGAGCGCCGACAGGGTCGGCGGATTACTCCGCGGACGGCAAGTTGAGCCAGCGCGGACCACCGCAGACCTCGAGGGGCTGATCGGCTTCAGGCGCCGTCGCCAGCGTGGTTCGAAGGCCAGCGAAGCGGCGTCTTCATCGGGTCGGCGGGCACCCTGGGGGCACCCCCCCTTGGCCCGCAAGCCGTCTCATCGGAGCTTCTTGGCGGCTGCAATTCTGCGCGAGCGGATGGTGGCCCTAAGGTCGGGTTTCTTGGCTGGGCCCGCGCCTCGAGGCGCCGCTGTTGCGACGGCCGTTGCGCGGCTGGGGCGCGGGGGGCAGCCGCCCCCGCTGCGGCCTCAGGGTCGCGTTCGGCTGGCTCTTGGAGAGCAACGGGGCGGCCTGGCCAGAGGAGGTGAAGCTCGCGGCGTAGTGGGGAGTCGCGGGGGCTACCATCGCAGCGCACGTGGGCCGACGCCAAGTCTGCTTCGGGTCGGCTTCCGTAGCGTCGAGCATGACGTATCGGGCAGCCATGGGGACTGCCATCGCAGCGCGCGCGCTTCGGAGCTGCGGTAGGACCAGTTCGACGCCAACACCGGTGACGACCTCGCCAGGATCGCGGCCCAAAGTCCTGGGGGGGCCCCCGTTGAGGGGGGCGCCTTCAGTCGCCACGGCGAGCCGGAGGCGTCAGGGCGCAAGGTCCCAAGGAAGCCCCCAGCGTGGGGAGTGCCTCAGGCTCGACGTCGCCACGCGGAGCCGGAGCCGCGAGAGCGGGTCGCGGCTGGCGGCTTTGGGCGCATCACGTCGGCAGGCCCATCAAGGATGTCTACGGCGAGTCCCTCGCTCTCGTCGGAGCCGCCCACAACCTGCTGGGCACGCGCCACATCTGGTCCCGAGATCTACCAGAGCTCGAGCGGCTGCCGGCCGTCGCCGTGGGGGGGGGGGCCCTTGGTTGTCGCGGAGCTGCCCTACCTGCGCCCGCTCGGACGGCTAGCGACCCGCCCACCGCTGCCGTTGACTACCACGCCCGCCAAGCAGAGCAGCGGCTCAGGCGCTTCCTCAACGGGCTGGCTGACTTGGCGGGCCAGTGGATCCCCGACATGGCGGTGCGAGATGGACGTTACGACTCGTGGATGGCTCACTGCGTCAAGGAGATGAGCGAGCATCTCGCGACGGAGCCCTTCCAAGCCCTCTTCGCCGGCACGGCGCCTGTCGGGGCCATGCGCGCGCGCGTGAGACAGCGGCGTGCCCGCGAGCTGCGCGAGGAAGCGCGGCGACGTAGCCGCCCAGCGCGCACGGCCGCCACGCTGCAGCCGCCGCGGTTCCCTCCTGCCGCCCGCGCGAGGTCCAGAAGCAGCTCCCCGCCCAGAGGTGCTGACCGTCGGGGCCCGCCATCGCCCTCGCTTTCAAGCTCGCAGCCGCAGCTGATGGCGCAGCTCACGGGCGTGGACAGGCGCGGGCGGCCCCGAGGCAAGACTCCGCAGGCGCGCACAGTGGGCGGCAGCAGGGCAATCCCCCACCTGCTGGTTGAGGACGAGGCTGCTGGGGTGCCCGCGGGCCTTCCGCGCGCCGCTGGCGCGCGGTTGGGAGAGCGCGCCGCAGCTGGAGGGGCGGCGCGGGCTGGGCCTCGGCAGCCATGAGGGGCGGCGGGACGGTCAGGCCGGGGCGGGTGGCAGCTCGCTGAGCACCCCGCGACCCTTCCCCCCAAGCCAGGGGCAGCCGCGCGACCGCCCCACGAGGAGAGTGGCGCTCAGCAGGTGGGGAGCCCGCCGCCCACCAGAGGTCGGGGATGTGCCGCCAGCGCGGCGCCCCGAATGGCCCTGCCGCCAGTTGAGGCTCTCGCAGCCCCTGCCAGTCGGCGCGCAGGGTCGAGGAGAGGGCCGCCGAAGCCTCGGCGGCCAGATAGCGGGGAAGGGCCGCCAGCGCGGCGCCCCGCAGGGCCACCGCCCTGCCTGGGGGGGGCCCTGCAGCCCCCCCCCCCCCCTCCAGGCTGCGCGCGGCGGCGAGGAGAGGGCGGACGCGCCTCTGGCGCCGCCGACGGCGGCGCGACGGCGGCCCGCGCGCGGGGTGCGCGGGCGTCCGCGGGTAGCGGACCTCTCGACACTTGGGGCCCTGGCGGACGTCTGCTAGCAGACGGCCGCCAGGGCCTCCTTGATGGTGGCCTATGCATTCCTCCTCCTCCTCCTCGTCCTCCTCCTCCTCCTCCTCGTCCTCCTTCCCCGCCCCTACTCTTTCTCTTCTTCCTCCTCTTCATCCTTTTCTTCTTCTTTTTTCTTCCTCCTCCTCCTCCTCCTCCTCCTCCTCCTCCTCCTCCTCCTCTCCTCCTCCTCCTCCCCTCCTCCTCCCCCCCCTCTCCTCCTCCTCCTCCTCCTCCTCCTCCTCCTCATCCTCCTCCTCCTCCTCCCTCCTCCTCCTCCCTCCTCCTCCCTCCTCCTCCTCCTCCTCCTCCTCCTCCTCCTCTCCTCCTCCTCCTCCTCCTCCCTCCTCCTCCTCCTCCTCCTCCTCCTCCTCCTCCTCCTCCTCCTCCTCCTCCTCCTCTCCTCCTCCCCTCCTCCTCCTCCTCCTCATCTCCCTCCTCCTCCTCCTCCTTCCTCCTCCTCCTCCTCCTCCTCCTCCTCCTCCTCCTCCTCCTCCTCCTCCTCCTCCTCTCCTCCTCCTCCTCCTCCCCTCCTCCTCCTCCTCCTCCTCCGCCTCCTCCTCCTCCTCCTCCTCCTCCTCCTCCTCCTCCTCCTCCTCCTCCTCCTCCTCCTCCTCTCCTCCTCCTCTTCCTCCTCCTCCTCCTCCTCCTCCTCCTCCTCCTCCTCCTCCTCCTCCTCCTCCTCCTCCTCCTCCTCCTCCTCCTCCTCCTCCTCCTCCTCCTCCTCCTCCCTCCTCCTCCTCCTCCTCCTCCTCCTTCTCCTCCTCCTCCTCCTCCTCCTCCTCCTCCTCCTCCTCTCCTCCTCCTCTCCTTCCTCCTCCTCCTCCTCTCTTCCTCCTCCTCCTCCTCCTCCTCCTCCTCCTCCCCCTCCTCCTCCTCCTCCTCCTCCTCCTCCTCCTCCTCCTCCTCCTCTTCCCCTGTTTCTTCCCATCTCCTCCTCCTCCTCCTCCTCCTCCCACCTCCTCCTCCTCCTCACGCACGCGCGCGCGGCGCGCGCGAGAGGCGCTGGCAGCTCCGGCGGCGCTCTGCGCGGTCGTGCCCCCGCTCGACGCGCCAGGCGCGCACAGCCCCAGCGCGCGCGGTGCCGGGCGCGCGGGGGGGCCGCCGCCGCGGCGTGCTGGGGCAGGCGGCGAGGCCCTGCTCTTGCGGGAGGGGGGGGGGCGTGCGGCCGGGCGCGGTCAGGAGTCGCATCAACATTTATTGCGTCCTGGAGTTTCGGGCTCCCCTCCCTCGAAGGTCGGAGGCGAAGACGGGGGCGAATAGCCCAGGGGAGGGCATTGCGCACATTCGCCCAGGAGCCTCGCCGAGAAGGGTGCGCGGCCAGGCGCGGGCACGAGTCGTGTCCATATCCACTGCGTCATGGAGCTTCGGGCTCTCAGGGGCAACGCGCGGGGGGGATAGGCATAGACGGGGGGGGTGCATCGACCCCGATTCGCCCATTCGTCGCTGATGGGGGCCCGATGGCCCCAGCCCGCCCAGGCACGTGGAGATTTGTTATCGGGGGCCTGTCGCCGATGTATCGGCGATGTATCGCCGATTACAGGTCGATGTTCCCCCCCTGTGCCCCCCTATCGTTGCCCCTCAGGTTCCCCTCCCTCGCTCGGGAGAATACGGCATCATAATCATAAACTACAAGACTGGAGGCGACGATAGGGGCGAATAGCCCGTGGGGAGGGAATTACACGTAGTTGCCCGGGAACCTCGCCGAAGGCATGGATCATCGGCTCCCCTGGATAGACGTATTGTAGTATTGCTCTCCCCTGGGCTATTCACCTCCACTGTCGCCCCCGAGATGAGGATGCTGTTGCGTAAATATATCATGTAGACGGTCCGCGCGGGTTTTCTTGCATCTGCGCTGGGCCCTCCTCGGCGGCGCCTCCGGCTCTGGCGCCCCCTGGCGCGCTCCCCGCCATGTGGATGGGGCACCAGAGCAGATCCAAACAAATCCGCGCGGACCGTCGAAAGCGGATGCTTGTGCCATTGTTTCTTCCTCTGCCCCCCCACCCCCAGAAGCTAGAGGCGTAGTGGATTTGCACAGAAATCTATCCCCTAGAGGCCAGAGTTTTATCCACATCCACTGCGGCTCCCAGAAAATACAACTCGCAGTGGATGTGGCTATAAACCTTGCCCGCATCAGGAACTCTTGCATACAGCGTGCGTGGGGCCGCCGGTTCTGGCACGCGATCCCAGACCCCCTGACGTCATGAAAAGAATCAGACGAAAGGTTTGTCGCTATCTTCGGGATCCCTTACCAGGCCTCTGGAGCTGTCAACAAAAATACCCAGCATGAAGCATTGGTCCTGGGGAATGGGTCGAGGCCTCTGGGAGCCGACGCGTTGGGAAAAAGCATTAATTATGTCGGGGATCTGCGATGCACGCTTCGGCGCGCCAACGTTCCGAGCTTTTCGCAGCGCCCTGGTCCACGCGGGGCAGGGCGACGTGCCATCAGCGCGCATGGCGTAGCGGGCTGCAGGCGCCGCCGCGACCCTCTACGCAAGAGTCCCTCACCGTGCGCGTACATGGCGCGTTCCAGCAAGGAACGCGCTTTCGGCGCATCCTTCCCCTCGGCGGAAGAAGACCAGCGGAAATCACGCGGCGGCGGCTCCGCCAGCGGAAGCCGGCGCAAGGCGGCGGAAGTGAAAGTGAGACGTCAAGTTTGATGGATCTATTTTTTCCGGGGGAACGTAAGACTCTAATACGCCAGAATTCGGGTTTGCCGACGCTTTTCGACGGGCCGGTTTTCGTGGGATGCTTGCAGCGGCTGGTCGCATCAAGTTTCAGATTTGGTCTCGTCATTTTCATGATGGCCCCGCCAGGCCAACCCGAGTCCCCCGAACCCGAGTAGTACGTCTCGATTTTCACGGGAACCATTTCTGCCCATTTCTGTGGGTCTGGGGTCCGCTTGGGGTGCTGCGGGGCCGTCTTGGGACGCTCTGGGGCCATCTTGGGAGCCGTTCTCGCGCCGCCCCGGCGCCGTACGAGAGTGCTGGATGGCCCCAAGATGGCCAAGAGGTACGCCCTCGGCGAAGATCTTTGGGCAGGTGGCGTGGTTGCTCAGACAGGGCTCGAGCCAGTTACCCAAGGAGCCCCCGCGATAGGCACATGATGAGGCTCCCCTGGAGTCATCTTGTGGTTTGAGGCTCCATGGGGCCGTTCTGGGACTCCCCAGGGCTCTTCTGAGTACCCTTTGTGGCTACCCCGAAGTGAGCGATGCAGCGATGCAAGACATGCAGTGACGGATTGTTGAACCTTAGCGCTCGCGACGTGTGCGCGCATGGTTCCAGTATCCACATCCACGGCATCGTGGTCTGCACTCCTTGGCCATGGTGTGTCCACGTAAACGCGTATCCGTAGGATCCGCCGCGTCGTGCAGACCGCGAGGTCACGGATACCATATTGGTCGGCCGGGTCGGGGCTGGACTCCCTCCCCAAGGGGGCGCCGCCCATGGCCCGCTCTAAGCAGCTGAGGAGGTGGGGTCCAGCGCGGACCGAAGCGATATTCTCGGACCTCCAGACGCTTACGTAGGTGCCGCATGTCAAGTGTTGTGTTTCGTGGTTATGCCGTCCTCCTTCTTGCCCTGGTTTAGCCGTGCGATGTGGCAACCGCGCGGCACCCACTCGTCCCTCTTTGGACCTGCCCTCGAGCCCGCTCTTCACAGGAGAAGGAGGAGGAGGAGGAGGACGAGGACGACGACGATGCCAGCGCGAACGAAGAGTACGACGATGAGGAGGAGGAGGAGGAGGAGGAGGAGGAGGAGGCGGGCAGGACATCCTCTGGCGATCAACTGGCATCCCCCCAGCCGTGAGGCCAGCGTGGCTGCGCAGTCCTGGGCGCGCCGCGCCCTCCAGACGGTGAGGGAAAATGGGCCTGGATACTTCTGCGCGCTGTGGTTCGTCTCCGCGATGCACGGCTTCGGCCCGTTACGCGGGAATTCTGGGGGACCATCTCTGACCCGCTTATTATTGCGTCCTTCGGCTATCAAATGACCTCGGACAGCTTCGGAGAGCCCCAGATGGCCGCTGACAGCCTCGGGTAGTTTCGGACAGCATGGGGTGGTCATGGATAGCCTTGGATAGGCTCGATTCTGGCAGTGGGGCGGATGTCTTCCAGATATTCGGCGTAAGGCCTGTTCGCGATCAGCTGGGCCCTCTTCGTGAGGGCGACGGGGGCCAGCCCGATCAGTTTCGATGCCCGACTTCCGGTCGCGGTGAACGTGGCGCTGTTGCTTCTCCGACCCAGCAGGATGAACCCGAAGTATGTCGTGTACCATTTGGCTGTCTACGTCAGCCTCAGCTGGGTTACTCGGCCGGCACGCTTCGCTGTGGCGGTGCCACTGACACGATCCAGTTGTGTTGCCGCGCGATTCCGCCAGCACGCTCGGGCGGGCGCGGGGGGTGAGAGGGCCTTGGGGGATGGGGGGTGGGGGGGTGGGGGGGGGAGGGGCCACAGAACCCCTTTTTCCCCAGGCTCTGTATTTGGGACAATGTTTTGCCAAGCAGGCCAAGAATTCAGCGATTTGGTCACTCAAAGAAGCGCATATTAGGCTCGATGCGTCGACGGGGCCCGGATTATTGTCTTGGAAAAACCGAAAAGGCCCGACGCACACCAGCCGCTGCAAGCGCGGCGGCGGATATTCTAACCGCTTCTTCGACACCATCCAGAAGCGCTTCAAGTGTCCCAAGTTCATTTGGAAGGGTTCGCCGTCCGCCGCTGGTACCCCCGCTGAGGGTTTGTGGCTTGAGGGCCAACGGGCTGGAGACACGGGGTCCATCTTGTTGCAATCTTGCGCATGACTCTGGCAACAGCGGAGCCTCTGAGGGTCATGATCGGCCTGATGGTGGAGTCACCGCGGGCGTGGGGGCCATCTCGGAGCCTTCAGGGCTTCGGGGGAAGCAACGGCCTAAAACACTCAGCGTTGACGTTCATGGAGGCAATCTTGAAGACCACCCTGGGCAATAAAGTTCCTAGCCTTTGTAGCGCACGGCGGGAAGCCAGGCTTAGAAAGAGCTACCTTAAAGCTTGCGACTGAAGGTCCACCTCAGCTGCGCGAGCTTGAGCTTAGGATTCCGGGTGAGAGCCACGCGTGGTTTGGGGAGGTTTAGGGAGGGTTGACGGGCACATGCAAGCGACCACCACACGAAAACAGTTTTTTGCTAGCATTACAGTTTTGGGGGCATTGCAGCTTTGAGTGGATTTCCATTTTTTTTTTCGCTGTAGATGTGCTGCGTTAGCTTGAGCTTCGGATTCCGCGTGAGAGCCACCGTTTATGCGTATTGTATCCCTTTTTGCATCCCATGTTTTTGCGTTGTAGTCGCGCTGTTCGAGCTTCAGCTTAGCTCCCGCGTGAGAGTCAAGCGCGGTTTGGGAATGTTCGGGGAAGGTTAAAGTGCACATGTCGGCGACCATTGCATTACAATGCAGTTTGTTTTGCATTGCAGTTTTTGTTGGCATTGCAGTTTTTGACCAGCGACCACACGAAACTCGAGTGCTGAGCCGTTGTAGCGCACGCGGGACGCCAAGCTTCAAACGAGCAAGCTTGAAGTTAGCGACTGAAGATTCACCTCAGCTGCTTGAGCTTGACCTTGAGATTCCGCGTGAAAGCCAAGCGTGGTTTGGGGAGGCTTCAGGAGGTTTGAAGCGCACATGCCGGCGAATACCACACGAAAACAGTTTTTTGCTTGCATTGCAATGTGTTGGGCATTGTAGCTTTGTCTACATTGTATTTTTCTTTGCTATAGAGGCGCTGGTCTAGCTTGAGCTTCGGATTCCGTGTGAGAGCCACGCGTGGTTTGGGGAGGTTCAGGAAGCATTCAATCGCACATGCTGGCGACCACCACACGCACACCGTTTTTTGCATTGCCGTTTGTTTTGCATTGCAGCTTCGTTTGCATTGCAGTTTTTGTTTGCATTGTAGTGGTGTTGCTCGAGTTTGAGTTTCGGATTCCGCGTGAAAGCCAAACTCGGTTTCTGGGAGGCTTAGGGAGGGTTGAATTGCACATTTCGGCCACCACCACACGAAAACAGTTGTTGCATTGCTTGTTCTGTTCTCATTGCAGTTTTTGTTACGCTGTGGTGGTCCTGTTAGAGAGCTTAGGATTCCGCGTGCGAGCCAAGCGTACTATGGGAGGTGCAGGTCGGCGACCACCACACGAAAGCACTGCTTTGTGTTGCGTTATGTGTGTCATGTGTTTGTCATGTCATGTTACATTGCATGTTGTTTTGCATGTCAGGTTTGTGTTGCATTGCAGTCGTTTATGCCTTGCAGTTGTTTTGCGCTATAGTGGCGTTGTTAGGGCTTGAGCTTGGGATTCCGCGCGGGAGCCAAGCGTGGTTTGGGGAGGTTCAAGGTGGGGTGAAGAGTACATGTCAGCGACGACGGCACAAAAACAATGTTTCGTTGCATTGCAGTTTTGTATGCATGGCAGTTGTTTGGGCTGTAGTGGCGCTGCTGGAGCTTGAGCTTAGGATCCCGCCTGAACGCCACGCGCAGTTTGGGCAGGTTCAGGGATGGCTGAAGCGCACATGTTGGCGACCACCACACCAACACCGTTTGTCTTGTCTTGCAGTTGTTCTGCATTGCAGTTTTTTTTTGCGCTGTAGTGGCGCTACTAGAGCTTCAGCTAAATATTCCGCGTCCGAGCCAAACGCGGTCTAGGGAGGCTTAGGCTGGGTTGAAGCGCACATGTCGGCGCCCACGGCACGAACACATTTGCTCTGCATTGCAATTTTCTGTTGCACTGCAGTTTTCTCTGCATTTTTGCGCTGTAGGGGCGCCTGGCTGGTCTGGCTGGCTGGTCTGACTGGCCTGGCTGGCTGGTCTGGCTGGTCTGACTGGCTGGTCTGGATCGTCTACTTGGTTTGGTCAGGTTGATCTGCTTGGTCTGGTCTTGGCTTGTCTGCTTGGTCCAGGCAGGTTGAACTGCTTAGTCTGGTCCGGGCTTCGCTGACTTAGTCTGGTCTGGGCTTGTCTGCTTGGTCCGGTACATAGATCCCCGAGGCCGCGGACACATCCCACAAGCTGGTAAGGAGTGCCGTCGAAAGAGTTTTAGAAAGCACAGAAACCCGCAAGCGGGCCCCAAAGGACACCCAGTATGACGGTGTTGGACCAAAAGAGAGTTCCATGAGGTCTCCAAGAGTCGTCCCGACAGGGCTCAAAGAAGACTCCCCCACAAAGGCCCCCGTATCATACAAGGAGTCTCTGGTATGGTATGCTGGGGGTTTGTTTAAGAGGCCCCCTTGTGGCCTCTTGGGGCTCTTTCGGACCCTCGTCGTTGTAGCCGGCCGGGGCTGGGCCATAAGATCTTTTCGCCTCGAGAGGCTTAGAATATTGAAGACCATCTCTGGGGTGGGCGTCTGGGAGATTGGGATGCAGATTGAGGCATCACCGAGTACCCACCATGTCCCTTTTCTGCCGCGGAGTGCACTTCGCGAAGCATCCCCGAACACTCTCGGAGCCATCATGCGCCGGCTTAACGCCGCCGCGGGCTGTCGAACGGTTGATGCGTCCATTTCGTGTTTTTCAGCTAGGGGGAGGGAAGCAGGGAGAGGGAGAAGGAGGGGAGGAGGAGAAGGAGGAGGAGGAGGAAGAGGGAGGACGGTGAGGATCGCAAGGGGGGAGACCGCGTTCTGCGAGAAAGGCATGGGCCGTGAAAACATACCCCGAGCAGCGTTGCCGAACTGACCTACCGTGTTACGTGCTTTGTCTGGTGCCAGCTGACAATTGTGTGCGAGCGTCCCTGGGCAATACTCGCTGGACACAGCTCGTGGCGCTCTGGTTGGACCCTTGCGCTGTCACGCACGCTCTTCGTCCCTTGCCTTCCTCTCGGAGCTGTTTGCATGCCATGGCGTTTTTCTCCTTTCCGCGCTCTGCCCCCCTCGTTGTCGGCTCGCTCGCCATGCGTGCACTAGGAGGCGCTCGCTTCGTTTTGAAGGCGGGAGTCTCGCAGCTGCGTGCGCAGCTCGACAGGCCTTGTTGCGTAGCATTTTGGCGCAGAGTTGGTGCGCATAGTTTGTGCACTCACTGCGCCATGGGCCCGGTTGTCGCTGGCGCGGGGGGAGGATTCAAACATTCCGTTCCATGCGTTGGGGGTGGGCGCGCTGTTTACAATAGTGCGTATTGGGTTTTGATCGTTGGAACATGCGCACATTGACACACGCACACACCCAGCTTGATTCAGAGTATTACTCGAGCTTGCTGGCGGTAAGTGCAGATATTTACGTATATACAGATGTATACAAGACTGCGTTGGCGCTTCGCACCATGCACCTTGGTCCTTGAAGTTTGGCATGCAGGCGGAAGTCGCGGCGGAAGGGCAGGAAGGTAGAGCATACAAAGTGGCGATGAATCTGCGTTGTCTTGTGCGAGTCGTCATCATAGTGATGCCGTTCGTTATCCTTCCCTAATGTGTCCTCTTCCCCTTCTTCGTTCTGAGGTCCACGAAGGAAGTGGTGACCGCCCCAGGTGGTGATCCCCCTTGGCATTGCCCGATCCTCCTACTCCCTCCCCCTCCTCCTCGTCCTCCTCCTCCTCCTCCTCCTTCTCCTCCTCCTCCTCTTTCCTCCTCCTTCTCCTCCTCCCCCTCCTCCTCCTCCTCCTCATGCTGCTCATGCTCCTCATCCTCCTCGGGGCCTCACCTTATCCACGGCGCAAGCCCCACCACCTCCTCCTCCTTCTCCGCATCATCATCATCATCATCATCATCATCATCATCAGCAGCCTCATCAGCATCATCATCAGCATCATCATCATCACCGTCCCTATCATCATCATCATCATCATCATCATCATCATCATCATCATCATCATCATCATTATCATCATCACAATCATCATCATCAGCATCATCATCAGCATTAGCAGCATCATCATCATCATCAGCAGCAGCATAAGCATAAGCATCAGCATCAGCATCATCAACATCACCATCATAATAATCCTCATCATCATCATCATCATCATCATCATCATCATCATCATCATCATCATCATCCCTATCCTCCTCCTCATGCCCACGCGCTTGGAGGGAAGGTCGCGAAACTTGGATTCTGACATATTTGGTGGAAATGCTGGACGAGGGCGCCAATGCGGGGTCGTACGTCAAAGGCCTCTTCGATGTGTTTCAGTCTGTGGGGAGGCGTCTCGGGATCGTCGCGGAAACAAGGTTGATGGTTTGGGAGATAATTTGGAGCCCGCTTTGTTTATTTTCGGTCTTATTGGGGACCTCGTGAACCCTGGTTAGGGCATTTGGGCGAGTGTTGGTAGTTTCGCAGGTCCTTTAGGGCCGGAGGGCTCGCGCTTGGTGCTGGTCTGAAAGCCGTCTTTGGGCCTTCTTCGGGGATCGTGGGGGCATCTTCGCCCGTCCTGGAGCCTTCTCGGGCCGTCATGGGTTGTCCTGGGGCGATGTTGGGGGCCATTTGGGCCTTCCTAGTGCGTCGGTAGCACGAAAAAGCGATAATGCCAAAATAATGCCAAAACGTATAGGAAACGCACAGGTTTTGGATTTGGAGGCCCACTTGGGGATTCCTCTTGGAGCTCTTTGGGGCGTTTGGAAAGTCTCTTGGGCCATCAGGAGGCCATGTTGGACCCTCTTGGGGCTACCGCCAGCTCGTTTACTCGACTTGTCAGGGGCTCCCAGAAGCCCAGAGGTCTCATGGGACCCTCGGCAGGGGCGCCCAGGAGCCCCAGAAGCCAGGGATCCCTGAAGGTCCGGCCTGGGGGGGAGGGGGTTTTCCCATATAGCAAAGGGAATATGGACGTACTCCCAGGCACGGGCGCGATTATTGCACATTTGGATTAACACACATACGCGTGCTTCTGGCATGCAAGGGTCTCGTCGTCGCAGCCTGGTGGCTCCTCGCAGGAGGGCCTGCAGATAGCGTGGGTATTCGCCCTCGTGGTTCCATTTGTGATATGTTCTCCATTTCTGGCGGCCGCAGTCTACCTCACTTGCGCAGTGGTTGGTGTGCCTGTGGTGGGGGAGTGACGCTGAGCGCTGGAAGTGGCGCGCAGGACAATGGTGGATTGTTTCGCCTGCGTAGGGGTAAGAGAGAGGCGTCGACGACGGCAGCGACCATGTCGGCTTCAATGACGACTTGTGCCCGCTGTGTCCAGACCAAGGCTGCCTCCCACGAAATCAATTCAACCTTTGTTAATTTCGATCCTGTGCGCTCTTACGTTCAAGTCGCCAGCCAAGTAATCCAGGGATTGTCTACGATCGCCACATTTTGGCAATCGTCCATCGGCGGCCACTAGCACAATCTTCTCTGAACACTTACACAATACGAATACTGCTCTCCTCTCTCCCCTGACTCTGTCCAGAGAGTGTCCCGTCCTCTCCGCGTATTGTTTTGCACACTCAGGATTCCATTAGTTGGTTTTTCCTATGTTTTTCGATCCGGTTATTTCTGGTTCTTCATGGTGTTCCTGCTGCAGCGCCGTCCCATTTCCTCGCTTCGGTCATTCAAAATCGTGCTCCCCCTGCAGCCCTGGCCTCGTTCACGCGCCTCTGGACGGCACTTGGGATTCGAAAGCGCCCATGTCGTGCAGGCACGGATGCGGAGGACATGGGGCCAGCATTTCGGACAGACTTTGTCTTCTCGTAGGCAGGCCATTTACCTTCCAAGTCATGCGGGCCTATGCTTTGTGATGAATTGCTTCACTACGCAATGCCACGCCATGCTATGACATGCTATGCTCTGCCGTGCTTTTCTACGCCATGCGTTTCCATCCATCGCGTACGAGAGTGTTGCTTGGGGCATGACGGGCGTCATGGCCCCCGGTCCCCCCTCCCCCCCTATGACGTAACGCTCCCTCCCTCCCCAATGCGCTCCCGGCACTGCCGCCGTGCGCATCGGGATCCGCATTGGTGTCCGCATAGAAATCTGCATAGGAGTCTGGTCCGCAGTCGTCGTCGTCGTCTTCGTCGTCGTCCTCGTCTTCGTCCTCGTTCTCGACCTCGTCCTCGTCGCTCGTCGCTAGTCGCTCGTGACTCATCGTCGTCGTGCGCGCGGACGCGGCTGGAGCCTGTTTTTTTGTTTTTGTTTATCCCGGGCCGATTAAGGCAATCATTGCGGGGGATGGGGGTGGAGGGGGCCGATGACGTCACTTTCGCGACGGCGGCGTCTGGGAATGCCTAGAAATGACCGAGGACGGGTAGCAGCAGCTTGTGCGTGGCGATATGCACCACAGCGCCTTTGTACACCAAACCTGTGTGCACCGCAGCGCCTATGTACACCACGCCGCCTATGTACACCACAGCAGCCGCGTGCAACACAGCGCCAGTGTGTGCCACAGCGCCTGCGGGCACCACAACTAACGCTTGTGTACACCACAGCGCCTGCGTACACCACATCAGCCGTGTGCAACACAGCACCAGTGTACACCACAATGCCTGCGTGCACTACAGCGCCTGTGTACACCACGGCGCCTGTGCGCACCACAGCAACCGTGTGCAACAGAGCACACTGTTGCATATATAATTCCAGAAGGAATCCTTATGACAAAATGAAAGGCTTGTGGACTCCACAAAAGTACAAGTATTGTATATAGCATTCGGAACGGAATCCGATGGAAAACGGAGCGCCGCTGGAATCTACGAGTCCTCCCGGGTCCGTTTGCATCATCCTAACTCCTCCCATCTGCGCCCAGGAGGCTCAAGCAAAATTGGCCGTCGGAGAACCAAGCGGGTCGATTCAATTGACCATTCTGCGGCGCACGCTGAAATGCGCACGTGCGCTGTAGCGCCGACCCGCATGGCAGGGGGGACGGGTGAGGGAGGAGGAGGAGGAGGAGGAGGCGGAGGAGGAGGAGGAAGAGGAGGAGGAGGTGGAAGTGGCGGAGGAGGGCGGAGGGAAGAACGTCGTATTCTATTATCAGCACAGCAGCAGAACCTCACCTACATGCTGCTTCTGCCTGTCCTATGCACGCAGGCGCTGTGGTGTACACCAGCGCTGCGATGCACGCGGATGTTGTGGTGTAGACAGGCGCTGTGGTGTGCACAGGCGCTGCGGCGCACGCAAGCACTATGGTGTACACAGGCGCTGTGTTGCACATGGTTGCTGTGGTGTACACATTCGATGTGGTGTACACCTGGCGCTGTGGCGCACGCAAGCGCACTGTGGTGTACACTGGCGCTGCGTTGCACGCGGCTGTTGCGGTGTACGACGGTGGTGTGGTTTATACGCGCGCTGTGGTGCACGCGAGCATTGTGATGTACACGCGCGCTGTGGGGCAGATCGCCACTTGCATGCTGCTCGCGTCGTCGTCGTCGCTCGTCGCTCGTCGCTCATCGTCGTCGTGCGCGCGGGCGCGGCTATTGTGCCAGAGCCACACGGCGGGGGGGGGGCGTCACGTCATACCCCCTCCCCGCCCCCTCCCCCCCCATGACGCCCGTCGTCGCCGAAACTATAGAAACGCTGTGTGCCCTCTTGGGATCATTGCGCTGCTCGACATCCGACTGTGCGAATCGATAGGGGATCTTCGCCACGATAAGGGATGGGATGAAGGTGTCGGACGTCAGATGTGATGCTGGCGTACCTAGTTTGAGCTACCTTCCCACCTTTATGCCCTCATCCCCCTCAATGTCCTTCTCCGTTTGACTGCCTCCTGGTGTCACTTGAAACCCGACCATCGTTTTGAGTCTCTTCTCCACGTAGCAACCCAGGGATGACAGGTCCGCTCAGAGAAAGGAAGTGGAGAGGGGCATGGACAGAGAGATAAGGAAACCCGTAGACAAAGGCTGAGCGTGATGCGGGGGGGGCGAAGTTGATTTGGGGCGCGCGACCTTGCGTGTTTTTTTGATGCGGGGGTCTTGAGCGGTCGAGCCCCCTCTGATGCTGGACTCCGCGCCTCCTTGAGCGGAGAACAATTGTTGAACCACAAGAAATGTGAGTGCCCATACCTGGGCACTGCGCAGACGCCCTTGCAGCAGGAATCCCCAGGCCAGGAGGAGACGCGCGGGCGCTGGTGGTGGTGGTGTGTGCTGTTACCGCTGCAGTTTGCGTTGGGCCAGAGGCCTCGATGAGCGCCCGGACTTCACGCCCACGTCGGTAAGGCTTCGGGCTGCGCGCAGACAGCCTCCCTAGGTACTCCTGGCTGGACTCAACCTCCCCGAGTAGTCCCAGCTGGCCTTACGAGGTCCCTCGAGTAGTCCAGGGCGGTCTCAACACGTTGGCGCCGCCATCGGCGGCGTCCCTGGGGTGCTCCGCGCCCCAGGGTTGGGGTGTTGAGACCGCCCTGGACTACTTGGGGGGCTTGTTGAGGTAAGCTGGGACTGCTGTGGGGGCTGATTTAAACCAGCCAGGACTACCTTGGGAGCTGCTTTCCCAACCCAACTTAGCGCGCAAAGCGACAAACATGTAGTCAAAGGCAGGTGTTCAAATAATCAGAGGCAGGATGAAGGAATGCCCACAGCTGGCCTCAAAGGCAAACGAGCTACGCGCTAGTGGCAAGCGGGTTGCAATCAAAACGCATACTACAACCAAGCGTACATCAGTTTGACATGCAGTTCACCTTCAATGCCGAAGATAAGCGAGACCGAAGCCGGAGTGTGCACTCAGAGCAAGTGGAAGGCAAGCTAATCCCAATAAGCAGGCAAGAGTGAGGCAATATACGAGCACGTGCAGGGCCAGCTTCAAAGAACTCGGGGAAAGATGGCAACGAGGTAGCGATCATCTACGGGGATCTACCGCGCACTCTGAAGGCAGGTTGCAGACAAGCGGGTGGCAAACCCAATTGCGGGCTAGAGGCAGGCGGGCGACAAGTGATGCCGGCGTCATCAGCAAGGACGGGGAGCCTGGGGACAGGGGGGGAAGCACGAGCCCCGATGAGGCGGGGGTGGGCGGGCCCCCAAGGCATTCAGCTTCGCGCTGCCTGTTCCCTGATGGCCCTTCGAGCCCCCTAGAGTCTGAGCCTCTCGTCTTTCTCTCTCTCTCTCTCTTGCCCTCCTCCGAAGCCCTTGGCTTAGGCGCGGTGATCTGAGCTTCACGCCGTTCCCCGCCAGTGAGGAAAAGAGAGCCTGCTCGCTCGCGCGACACATTTCGAGGTTATCGTATGTCCACGTTCTTGAGACAGTGGTAAGCGGAGCTATGTCGGAGGCGGTTCGAGCAGCCATGGGACTCATTGCGGGGGAGAGCGTGGCCGATGCGCCAGCGCATGAGGGAGGGCAAGCGCTCGAACGGGAACGCACAGGCGACCAGGGATCGCCAGGCTCCGAGGAACCCGCAAGTTCTTGGACGACGGGCAAGTGGGCGCGGGTGGATGACGCGACGACGAACGCGAGAGACCAGCGCGCGAAGGGCTGGCAGAACTGGTACGATTCCGACCGTATACTCGAGGGACTACCGGTAGATCTCCAGCTCAAGTTCAAAACCATTCGGCCAGAGATGGACGATTCCCAGGGCGTTGAGAGGTTGCTGCAGCATTTGTCGCTCCTGAACGGGGAACGCCCCAGGGACCAAGAGCGAGCCGCACGCAGTGGAGCCCTGTTCGACGTGGGTATCCGCAAGGGAGAGTCTCTGACGGATCTCGTGCTACGCAGGGATGTTCAATTCTTAGAAGCTGAGTGGCGCGACCTCGCCATTACAGACGGCGTCAAGGTCCGCTACTTAGAGGAAGGAGAGCAGTTTGTCAGGCCAAGACAGGATCAACTTGAAGACGCTAGCTGGAGGCCGCGAAGATTTCTCTTCCATGCGAGGCGCGTTGCTCAAGGTGGACGTTCGTGATCGCCCCATTCTTCCCGGCGCCCTGGCCCCAGCAGCGAAGTCGTTCGTGGAGATCGAGCTCGAGGACGTGGGGCCCCCGGTGGCAGGCGAGCTGGGCCTTCCGCCGCCTCCGGTGACTTTCCGCTCTGTAGACATCGACGACTCAGTGGAGCTGCCAGAAGTGGACGTGGACACTCTGCTGCCTACGCTTGAGGAGCAGGGCATCGGAGAGAACGGGATCACGATGATATTTGCAGCGGCGGTTGAGGACAGGCTCGGCAAGGATCGCCGCCGAACGTGGCAAGAAGCGCGTGCGATGAAGGCAGCTCGGAAAGTAGACAGGGACTTCTTCGACAGAAGACGGGCGGCAAAGCCTGGGTTCAAACAGATGATGATGAGCGACCTTCGCAAGCGCACCAGAGGCGCTAATTGCAGAGAACGAGGTCGCTGGGCGGAGTCTGGCAAGCGGCCATTTCGCTCCAGGGCAAACCGCATAGCGGGTGAGAAGGGCAGCGGCAAGAAAGAAGCGCCCTCCAGCTTCTT